CCTTGGGAGTCCCGCGTTTATGACCTCCATGGGCGGTGGTGTCGGAAGCTCCCTGCCGGAGAAAACATGGGATTCTGCCGACCACAAACCCAACGGTTCCACCTTTCTCTAGCACAGAATGTGTGCAGGTTTTTCACGTCTCCCTGATTGATCACCGGAATTTCTAATTTTGTCAGCGTTCCGTTTTGCTACTTCTTTTTACTGTGTGTTTTACTTCATAGTTAGTGTGTAAAAGTAAATCATATTTCCAGATAATGCTATTTATTTAAAATGTTTAAATTTATTTCTTTATATATATATATATTAATCATCTGCATTTCACAAGTTATTACCCAAATTAAAATCAAATCAGAGAAAGCGAAATGGCATAAATCTGAATTCAGCTATTTATAAAAATAATATTTTTCTTTTTCTTGGTTCACGTGTTTCGTCAGTTTATCTAAAAATGCGTTTATGTTTTTACACTAAATGCAAGCCGCGGGTCGACCCCGCGGTCAACCCGCGAGCTGCGTTTCAGGATAATTGGGTCGACCCGCGAGCTGCGTTTCAGGATAATTATCCTGAAACACATAAGCTGTCCCAAACAGACCCATAATGTTGTACAGAAATATCTTATGGCATGGAAGTGAGGAGAGTAATTAGGGAGTGGTTGATTCAGTCAGCGGGTGACTTTGTGCCGAACTTTTGAGGGGTATTTGGTTGCTTGACGTTACATACTACCTCTACTGTTGATTGAAGGGGATTTACATAAATGCCACACAATTCTTGTCTATTTACATATTTACCGCCTAAAGTTTCATAATTATGTACGGTTCACTGAAATTTGTGACTTTACATTAAAAAAAATATATCATTTTTAGAAGTAAGATGCACCTTTAAGTGTGTAAGGTTTACCACCAAAGTGTTATAAATACAAATATCAAAATTTATTGCATTGTGGTATTTATGTAAATTTTCCAAAAAAAAAAGGGGGATGTAAATAAATTGCAATATTTTCAGTGTGCGTGTGCATGAGACATTGAATTTATAGCCCAAGTCAAAGAGCTTTCTCATTACCAATTTCTAAACGTAGGCTGCTTTTGGGGCCGCTTGTGCTTATCTAAATAAGCCCTCTATACCGAAATGCGGCCCGCGGGTTCGACCTACAGCCTGTGTTTAGTATAATGCGTTTTTGGACAAGCTGTCTAAATTTGTTTTCCAAACAGTAAAACAACGTTTTGAAAACATCGCCCGCACTTATAAGCTGCCCCAAACGGGCCTTTAATGAGAAACCACTAATAGATCTAGAAATATTGGTGTCATCGGTAGATATGAAAATTCAAAGAGTTTAATCAATGAATCATACGTATACATGATATTAACAATATACTATAAATTCACATAACTGCATCAAAATGTGATTGTCCTGGACTTTGCATTGTGGATCTTAAAAATCAACCTGATATATCAACTCGGTCGAACTCCGCATGAACAATATATAAATGCGGGTTATCCTAAATCGTGACTTGAATTTGACCCGATCATTGTCATACTTTTTATGTCGAAGGATGTTTTACAGTTCGAGACTGAGTCATATAGGTTGAAGCCATATCGTATTTGCGGTGGTCTTTCATACCGCCAAATATTCAGATCAAGTCAAGATGTAGTAAATATGAGCCAATCTTGTAACAATCATTATATAATACAACCATATACTTATGCAAGGCTTTTTCAGGAGCACAATATAAGGGTCAACAAACCTTGCGGGGTTTGAAGGCTCGTATCCGAAGATCAAGTCATTCTCGAGCTAACTCTAATTGTCAAAGTGGTAGAGTTAAGTCCACCAATCACATTGGATGTGGTGTTCTCCTTGCTTGTCGTGCCTTAAATGTGTCTCCTTTCTTCCTCGCTTTCTCTCGGTTTGGATGGTGAGAGGAGAGAAGCGATAGAAGAGAGGAGAGCGAGAGGAAAAGAGAAAACTTATTCAAAATATTCGAAATAAATAATTGAAGGAAGATTTACATGCATGCCACTCATGTATTTACACATCTAACACCAAAAATTCAATTTTTACGTATATGTTATCTTATATGTGCATGACAAAGTGTATTTTATTTTTTAAAATTTAAAATAATGGGGTTTTTTATGTGATATAAATAAATTGCGCGGTATAAATGTAAAAAAAAATAAAATTTAGGTGTTAATTACGTAAATACATAGGAATTGTGTGCTATGTGTGTGAATGCACCATAATTCAATCTTGTGAAAAATCAATTTAAGAAGAAAGTGATATTATGACTATTAACAACTTAATTTGCCCTTGAAGCAAAATTTGGCTACCTAAATTTGACTCCAATTTTTATTTTTAAAAGCCAAATTTCACATATTTTAATTGATTTCAATAACAAACTTTATTAACCACAATGATCCACGAGAATAAGGTGTTCATATATATATATATATATATATATATATACACAGAGATATGTACAACTCACATTTTATTATATATATATATATATATATATATATATATATATAATGGAATCCAAAAAAGTCTGGGGAAAGCACCCATGTATAGAATGTTGTGAATAAAGAGTCAAGAGAAAGTGTAGTAGACAATCACAAGAATAAGTCCCATTTTTATTCATGATATAAACCTCTTATTTATAGGAATAGACCTCAATGTTACAGAATTACAGACCAGACCCATTATCATTAGCTTTTAGAGAGATTTTTTAGTAATTATAAAGGTGCTGAAAGACTTGCGAAATGGTGCCGGTCAGCGAGAAGTTTGTCGTCCGTCTGCCTCACCTTAACTATGATATTTGATTCGAAACTTAACAATATTGACTTTAAAGTTGGTCACCTTCCATTTGGGAAATCCTTTGGCATGTCCTTAAGATCGATTAACCTAAACGCCTTACTTGCTAGCATTAATCCGTCGATTGCTAATAGGAATGTCAATTGATCGCGTTGTCTTTCTGAGCCATCTGTTTTATCTTGAGATCCATGTTGGCATATCTTTTGGGTACAATATATATAAACTATTAGAAATAAGGGCCTAGCTCAATTTTATTGAAATTGAAATAGAATACAAGATTTTATATTATTGATTGGTCATCTACTAATTTTATTATTTGATATGAATCTCAAGATTTTTTAGTAAGAAATATTCAAACTTAGATTAAAAACTATTTAGAGTTTCAATTTATGCAAACTTACGTTCAAATTGACAAGCTCGATGATGAGAACCCAATTATACCAAATTTTGTTCTAATTCAAGTTCAATCAAAAATAGATAAAGCCATTGAACCACATTTGAAAATTTTGTGTAGTTTGTTGAATGAACATATGAACATTGAATTTGACTTACATATAGTCAAATCAAGTGTCTTGACCGGAGGAATCCAAAGAACCCTAGATCACTCAATTTTAAGGTCATTAAGACCCTCAAACAATAAAAAAAAAATCTCTTATGATAAAGAGAAATCAATATGGATTGTTCGATTAGGTGGTTACATGAGTTATTCGTCAAAATGACCAAAATGTCTCTCAATTGGATCCTATAAACATACCCCTCTCTTCACTTGAGGGGGAGAGACGAAGAGGAGGAGAATAAATTGAATTCTAATGCTATTCTAGAACAAAAGTTCAACAATAGCTTTCAACTTTCGTAACTGCCAACCATTGTTTGTCATTGCTTGCCAACCGCAGTTGACGCGCCAGCCACCCCCTACTCGCCATCAAACACCATTTGTTCGCCTTTGTCAGTGAACTTTGTGGTATAACGAAGTATCACGAATGTTGTGTAACACATGCAATGTTCGATAATGGCACTGAAGTAGTAAATCTATTGGCACAACAATAAAGGACTATAACATTGGACCTAACGACCAACCCCATGACCTCTCCTCAATCGGTTTGAGAGAAACAAAAGTGAAAGGAAAAAAAAAACTTGATTGCAACAGCGCCTATATGCAGCCCTATCCGACTAAGAAAGAAAAGGAGTGGTTATCTCTCGGTTATGCGTTTTTGGCTTGTGTCTCTCTGGTCTCTTTCTGAATACATACCACATTTGTCATAGTTAACAGGTCCATATCAATTAATATCAAGATCAAGTTCATCATCTCTATCATCAATAATGCTATCCTCAATAAAATAACCTTTAGGCTTGTCATTCAGGAATTTGTTCAGAAATAGCATAATGAAATAAAAGTAAGAGTTTGTCACTAGGTATTTGGCCAAATAGGACTGTCTAGTTCCTATAGAACCTATGACTAAAACACCTATAAAAGAGAATAGGGCTAAGCAGAGCAAAAAGGGTTTTCGTTGAATGAAAACTATTAGCCCCATACGAGGTTTGTGAATAAGTGATCGTCTGATAATGAGCAAGGATTACTTGTCTTCCAGTTAAAAAGAATCTATTTAACTCATAGTTGATTATATCCTTTTGTTGAATGTCAACTAAGTATCATGATCAGATCAACCACTCTCCAACCATCATGCAGAAGGACCCTGAACACAGTGTAACAAAATACCCAGAGTACTGTGCAACAACATATCTTAAACACGCCTTATTGAAGATTCGAAGACATCTTCTTGCAACCACAATATCCAAAAATACAACAGCTTTGTCTGAAGTCTGCAAGTTTTCTCCCTACATCGTATAACTACATGTGATGTCTCTTGTGTAAAATAGTAAATCCGAGAGAAGAGATGCACCCACCAACTTATGTAACACTAGTTACGATCTTAGTGGCCAATTGAAGTTATTGTAACCTACTATGATCTATGTGACCAACTACAACATACGCGGCTCACTACTAGTGCAGTTTCGAACTAAGACATTTGTCATCAACTAAAGCTATAATAGCTCTTTACTACGACCTATGTGATAAAAAACAACCTACATGATTTATTATTATTACAATTCCTAACTTTAATATTTATGGCCAACTGACATTCTTTATAGCTAATTTCAGTTAAAATTTCTAAATACAGCATTTTTATGTCGAACTTAAGTTAAACTCTCGAGTGTCGGGCGGCCACGACGTGTCAGCATGCTGTGCTCCGTCATCTACTCCTCCACATCGCCGCCTCTCTCTTTCCGTTTCCACTCCAACCAATCCTCCGCCGCTGCCCCCGTCCCCGTGGACACCGAGATTCGCAACACCCAATCTTGTTCATCTTCAACTCAATTTTCGATTTCAGCCTACAATTCCCTTCTCCGAGCAGAAACACACGCTGGACGCCCTAACCAGGCCGTCCTCCTTTTCCACCGCATGTTCGCCGACGACGCCCTCCCACCCAACCGCTTCACCTTCCCCACAGTTCTGAAAGCCTGCGCCCATCTCCCCGCTGTCGCCGAAGGAGAACAAATCCACTCGCTTTTCCTAAAGTCCCACTTTGCTCCTTCCGACGATGTCTTCGTCCTCACCTCCCTAGTCTACTTCTACTCTCGCTGCGGACGTTTAAAAGATGCCCGTCTTCTGTTCGACCAACTGCCCCACACAAATGTGGCTTCTTGGAACGCGATGCTCGACGGCTACGTAAGGTCGGGTGATTTAGACTCCGCTTACAAGCTTTTTGATGAAATGCCTTACAAAAATGTTATCTCTTGGAACACACTGATAAGCGGCTGCGTGAGAAATGGTTGGGCTTGGGAAGCTCTTAAACTCTTCCTCGACTTTCAAATCTCGGGCATGAAAGCAGATGAGTCAACAATGGCGAGCTTCATTGCAGCTGTTGCAGATTTGGGGCTTCTCTATTTAGGTAGAATGGCTCATGCTCATGTTACTCGTAGCTTATTTTCTTCCAATGGAGCTCTAGGCGTGGCTTTCATCGATATGTACGCAAAATGTGGAAGCATTAAATCGGCCTATAATGTCTTCACGACTATTGAATCAAAGAATATCCGCCATTGGACTTCCATGATCGCTGGATTTGCTTCACATGGTTCTGCATATTCTGCTCTGCAGTTGTTTGATAAAATGATGAACTCAGGCACTATGCCAAATGACATAACATTCATTGCTGTGCTCAATGCCTGTAGCCATGGCGGATTGGTGTATGAAGGGCTGGAGTGTTTTAAACTCATGAAGACCTACAAGGTTGAGCCTGGTGTGAAGCACTATGGGTGTTTGGTTGACTTGCTCGGTCGAGCCGGGCTCGTAGATGGAGCAATGGAAATAGTAAGAGACATGCCAGTTGAGCCGACTTCGGTGATCTGGTGTAGTTTGCTTGCAGCTTGCAGGAACTATGGATATGCTGAGGTTGCAGACGTTGTGGCGGGGAAGTTGATTGAATTGGATTCGAACAAAGGGAGTTCTTTTGTTCTTCTCTCCAATTTGTATGGAGGGTTGGGGAGGTTGGAGGATTTTGGTGGTGTGAGGAAAGCCATGGCAGACAGGGCAGTGACAAAGGTTGCTGGGTTCAGTTGGATTGAGATTGATGGTCAGGTCCATGAATTTGTGTGTGGAGATATGTTGCATTTCAGAAGGGGGGAGATTTATGGTGTCTTGGAAGAGATGAGGAGTTATTTGGGATGGCAGCAAGGGTCTGATTCACTTGGGAATTATTCTCTTTCGATACAGTGAATTCTCCTATTCTATTCGTGATTCTTCCTCTTCTTGGACTTTTCACATAAATTTGGCTGTCTTGATTTGTGTTTGTAGTTTGTAGTTTGTCTTGCTGGTATTGTTTCTCTCGTATTCTGGTTGATATTGATATCTGCCAAATATTAGAGGAGGGTGGACTATGTAGTTCAAGAGAAAGTTGCCATTGGAACAGAAGATAATCGTCGAAGCTTGCAAAGGAACCATAATCAAGTTTCATTTCGAGTTTCCCTCCATGTTCTAATTAGAGTTTATGGCCAAAAAATGGCCATAATGGGCTAACAAGAATTGAGGCCGACATATTTGGCCTTTTCCAGGCCCAAGTCCACGAAGAGATTCAATTCAACAAGCAGATGAAATAATAAAGTACTGACTAACGGGCCTAAGCAATTGAGTATGAAAAGCCAATAGCTGGATCACAATTTTTGAGTGAGAATGGTTCAATACGAGTTGTTGAGCATAGCTATATGAATATGAGAAACTGAGTATCGTAGAATACTCGATATGCCATTTGGCAATTTTGTCACCTAGTCAAAAGCCACATTGAATAGCTCTAGATGCCCACGAGACTTCAATCTACTCGCCCTAAAGCAACTTCTCAAGATAGGAGACCCACTAGATATTGGATGTGACCAAACATAGTGGCAAATGATAGAGCTTGGATAGATAAGAAACCTTGGAGGAAATACAAATTGGAGTTGACCAAACAGAGTGACAAATGATAGAACCCTCTCAAGTTCCAACAGTTGTCTGTATCCCTTTAGACTACTGAGGAAGAAATACTGCGGTTGCTAAGATTTTGTAACTTCAAGGAGATGTTATTCGAGACGCAATATATTCATGAATTTGTAGTGAGGAATCATTGTTCAAGGTCAAACTTTCATTCCACTCCGAGCAATCAACGACTGAAACATTGAAGAAATCTAAGAAGAGACCTTCCGAGCATGCCTCCGTGGCATCCTCAAAGCACCCCCCAACGAACAACAACTGTGAAGTACTCCATCAGAAATAATATAAGAGGGTTAAAGAATCACAGAAGTCCATGTCTAGTTTTTCGACTATTCGTATTCCCGAGAATGTGTTGTCTCATGAATTTACTGAGCTCTTGGAACAGGCTTTGTAAGTTTATAATCATGTTATCTGTCTGACCCAGACTTCTCTTCTTCCAAATAAATAAAATGGTGCAAATTAAGGTGGGGCTAGGATTGGCTCCGTGAAATTAGAACTCTGAATTTGTTAAGATCAAATACCTTCAAGGCAAGTACAAGTGCCGATATAAATTTAAGGTTGAAGGAGTCATGACTCTAGAATTACAGTTGATGGAGTGCAGGACAAAACTCCCAACAATACTTCATTCTCGTTGCAGCTTTAGGATATGGAGAGAACTCGAGAGGCATTGGCAGAGACACGAGCCGATCTCAGCGTGAAAACCCTTAAGTAGAAGGTGTCAGCCCAAGAGGAAGAGTTTCGAATTTTGAGACCTATGAAGGATGTTGATGTCATGGAGGTTGAGCAAAAAGCGGTCGAGGACTTCAACAACTCGCTTGAGTTCAAGACTATCATTCTAGACAATGTTTAGGAGGCTCGTGATCGGGTACTTGATGTTGAGGTAAGAGAGCATGAAAAGTGGTCACTGATGAAGGATTCATCCAGAGTTTCCTGAAGGGGAGTCGAGCGGTGCAACGTCAAACTGAGATTATCGTGGAGGGAGTCACTCTCAGTCAAACTTCATAGGTTCCTCCTTCAGATTCTAATGGTGAGGACATCAAAAGTGAATTGAAGATGTTCTCCAATGACAACGATGAGGCAGATGAGAACTTTGAAGTTGATTAATACTCTACTCTTCTTTATATGCTTTTAGCATATTTGCTTTTGTCATGTTATATAAATCATACAGATGTTTTTTCTTTTCAGCTTTTGTCAGAATGACGTTGTATGAGCGATAATAGTATTCATGTTGATAATCTTATTTAGTTTTTTGATTTTGTTGGCTATTAGCCCCCAGAGTATCTTAGTATCTTTTCTTTTCATCACAGTGGATACCGGATGTCATTTAAAAGTTATAATACGTGAGGAGGTTGACGCGACGATAAATCGCTAGTGGTCTTTGAATTGCCTAGGTCTGTGCATCAGAGTATTACTCAATGATGTTAACACGTATGTGAGAAGCTAACAAAAGTCCACCGAAGACTTTTTAATCATCTGAAGTGTTTGTTGCAGTATTACTTGCTTACGAACCTGTGTGAAAGAGGTCAAGTGTAGTCCACCAAGGACAGTTAATCTATCTAGGGTTATTTATTAGAGTAAAAACTCGACGATGTCAACCCATATAGAAGATGTTAGATTGAATCACCCTGAGTTTGATCGTGCTCTGACTAAAATGCAACTAAAATTGCATATTTCTCAGGTCGAGAACATGAAATGATTTGTGAATAACTCATTATACTTTCTAGAGATATCCTTCATGTAGAGGTAAATAAGTGAATGATATTTGTTTAATAAGTTTGAGATACATTAATATTATATGCTAGATGAGATGCAATAGCGGACAATAACAAACATGAACTACGTGAATCGAGGTAGTAATTGCGAAGATTCTCTACATTCTAAATTCGGGGAAGTATTTTCCCCTATGATTCCTTGAGCTTGAGGGTTCCAGGCTTGACCATGACAGTGACGATATATGGGTCTTTCCAGAGGAGAGATAGCTTATTGCATTGCGGACCACGACCAATGTTTTCAATACTATGCAAAACTAGGTCACCGATGGAGATAGGTTGAGACTGACTATACGGTTGAAGTGGCGAGCCATTCTTTGGCACTATAAAATAGTTCTAAGGCAGGCCACACCACATGTTTCTGGAAGGAGATCCAAATATTGCCGAAGCTTTTTCTCGTTCTTATCCTAGTCAAAAGTCTCAATTCTTGAGCTTGGAACTCAGATATCAACTAAGATGAAAACCTCGGTGTCGGAACGCGAGTTATATGGAGTTTCCCTGATTGGAGTTCACGAGGTGGTGTTATGGGCACAGAGGACATCGTGGAGCTCTTCCACCCACTGGAGTCTTCAACCGCTTGAGCAATGCCCGATTCATCACCTCTGTTTGTTTGTTCGTTTGGGGATGCGCCAATACAATGTGCACCAACTGTATGTGAAGATCCTTACAGAATGACATGAAGGCTTTCTCAGAGATTAAGTCCCAATACTAGTGATAATCTTCGCAGAGAGCCCGAAGCGACAAACAATGTTTTTCTAGACAAACTGCTTGGCATTAGCTTCAGTGATCTCGGCGAGCAGATTCACTTCTACCCACTTGTTAAAGTAGTCGACAATTAATATGATAAATATTTGCTATCCCGTAGCTATTAGAAGTGGTTTCATGATATTTACCCCAAATTGGGGGAAAGCCCAAGGACTCAGAAATGACATGAGTTCAAGTGGTGGTGATGCGTAAGATTGGAGCGTAGTTGACTACTCTTGCACTTTTGCACAATCCATCGCGTCTTGCTTGATCGCGAGCCAGTAGAAGCCTTGTCTCATTATTTTAAGGGCAAGAGCTCTAACAATGAGATGTTCCCTACATATGTCAGAATAAACCTCCCACAGGGCTAATCAAATTCAGATATGGGAAGATACTTGAGGTATAAATCTACAAATGCCTTTTTATATTGTTCATCCCTAATAAGGATGAAGTTGAAAACCATCCATCAGAGGGAAAGATGCAGTAACATCATCAGATAACATTCCGTCTCAGAGGAAGTAGATGATGGGATCAATCCAAGATGGCTCCTTTGGGTCATCTATAGTCAATATCATCCTAGGGCCTTGGATGTTGGGAAAATGTATATCCTCAATACACCTTCTCTTAAAGGGATCTCCAGTTGTCAAAGTAGAGAGCTTGGAGAGGGCATCAACTTGGGTGTTATATTCCTGAAGTATGTGAATGAGCTCGCAAGTTTCAATTCGGGTAAAAAGTGTTTTCACCAAACTGAGATACTATTCCAGTTGTAAGTTATGGGCGTCAAATCCTCCATCTACTTGGGATGTGACGAGTTAAGAATCAGTGTAGATAATCATACTTCGTACTTCACAGTCGATGACAAGTTTTAACACGAAGACGAGGGTTTTATACTCGACAACATTATTGGTAGCTAGAAATTTCAAGCGGAGCCCGTACTCTAAAATGTTTTGCTTTGGGGATATAAATAACATTCAATCACTAGCTCCAGAGTTTTTGGATGTTTCGTCCACATACAATGTCCACTGAGGCGACAATGGAAGAGAAACGACTTATCAGAAGCAGACACTGTACATTCTACCACAAAGTCGACCAACATTTGTGATTTGATGTTTTGTCGTGGTTGATATCGAATGTCAAATTCTCTTAATTCTACAGACCATTTAACTAATCTTTCTAGTGCTTCTGGTTTTTGCAAGATAGTATGTAAAGGGAGTTGTGTGTAGATGTCGATAGTGTTGGCCTGGAAGTACGATAAAGTTTCCTTGCTGAAAATTCTAAGGCTAGTGCAATATTGTCGGTCAGCGGGTAGTGACTTTTTGTGTCAGAGAGAATCTTGCTTACATGATAAATATGCTTTTCGACGGAGTTCTCGTCCTTGACTAGGACAAAACTTATTGCGTAAGGTGAAATATCTATATAATATACAACATATCTTCTTGGACAGGCTTGTTGGTTTTAATTGTTTAAAAAAAAAAAATGTTTTGATTTTAATAAGATTTCTATTTTGAAAAATAGTTTGATTTTAAAAATAAGACTGAATAGATCTCTAACATTTGATTGTTTCAATAATTGAACACAACACGACAAGTAATATATTATATCGAAAGATGAGAATATCACTTAATAATAAGTTCAATTATTCAAACTATAAGGGCTCACACCTATAAGAAATTAGTAACTCAAATAATTTAGACCTTATCTAATCTTTGGATTAGATATGGTAAGCGACTGAAATCACTTAAGAAAACTCTCGATTAAAATCAGAGTTTTGTCTTTAATAATTTAACGTTTTGTTTCCACGATTGATTGTAGGAAAATCAAATGGGGAATGCTAAATGTGAAACAATTATTTCTATAACCCAAAGAAATGAAAAGTATGAGATGTCAAAGTTACTGAGAAAACCCCAATGACATGTCAAACAAACCTATATATTGGTTTTACATCTTTGAAAGAGAAAATTATACAATGTTTCAATCCTGTAATTTATTAAGAAATTTATGACTTATGTTTGCAAGACATACAATCATGCAAATAACCTAAAAAGATAGAAGGATTTACTTCGTACCGAACAACAACTTCAAAGTCCTAAAAAAAGTTATGGCTTAATCGCATGACATAGAATCATGTGAAGACTTAAAAGATAAAGTGAAGATTTACGTTGTGCTTAAAAGTTGCTATTAATTAAGTCTATGAAAAGAAAGAGAAAATCATGCATCGAAAGACCTATTCTAGGTTATTGTTGTTTGTTTGGTTGTTGTAAAATGATTTTTAAATTAATGTTTATTATTCAAGGGATTAAAGAGAAATTTTATTTTATGTTAAGCGATGCCGTGAAGATCTCAGGGTTCCGTCGCCAATACATTGCTGTTAATTTTGAATTTACTTTGTCTAAATAAGCTGTTAAACTTCTTTAGACCTAAAGCCTCTTGCTAGCAATCATAAGTTATCTCATCCAAAAAATCATCGTAAATTCAAAATGGTGAATTATTGTGTTTGTGTTATTTTTAATATTCTATCTCATATAAATGGTTTGAGTTGATTTATTAAAGTTTCAAATATTTTGTGATGCATTTAAATGAATTTTGTTATAAGGTTCTAAGAATTATTAAAAATTTTGTCAAGTGAATGTGTTGGTCATATGTTATAGGTCTCAACCTAAACTTATGCCTTACGTCCTCTATCCTAATGCTTCCTTTTCATATGTTGTGAAATACAATCAGTAAAAGAAGAACAATAGTATCATATGTATAAACAAAGCATATACAATCAAGAGGAGTAAACGAAACAACTAGTAGAACATATCTACCGCCTCTGACTCTGTGTCTAGTAACATTTTTTTTTATAATATATATGAATCCATAACAATTAACTTATATACCGACTTTGAAACATAAATGTAAAAAAAAAAAAAAATTTGTGTTGGGTTTCTTAGAAGAAGTTAAGAGAACCTTCTTGGTTGCACACTTGAACCAAAAATAATTCTCGAGTAAGGGTCGCCACAAAGTGTGCCATCTAGGAGGGCTACAAAATTCTCAAGCAACCATACAATAATAAGAGGTATTGTTTTTTGTGACATGAATGATATGGATGGTATAAATGTAAAAATGCAAAGTTTACATGTAAAAGTTTTCACCATTTGGATCTTGCTACAAACCAAGCAGCCATCAATCCATTCTATCAATGCATCTTCTGGCATATGCTACTCTATTATACCCAAGACCATTAAGGGCTCATCCACCATTTCAGCTTCAGTTGGCTAAAACGCTAAGCATGCATGAATAACATAACCCCATCTATAGGCAATTATACAAAAAGATATAAAGTAAAATACATAAAGACATAAAGATATGTAACACCTAAACTTTGCTATTTACATTTATACCATGGAAATCTTTCTTCTCACACACTACAATCTTAACTTAAAAGTGAAATATGCCCGTTCATCCATAAGGTTGTATGCTTGTAAAACTGGAAGTAGCTAACCTGGCTTCCAGACTACTATTTGTAAATATAATGGATCTATATTGGTTGCCAACATCGGGACCTTATCCAAGGACCTGCCTAGAATCATGAATAGCCTAGAAAACATCCAAGAGATGCTTCAATGAAATTAGAGTTGGTTCATATCCAATCTGAACGCATTCGGCATGGTTTGTTTTGTTTTTTTTTTAAATAATGGTTGTTGTATGATGTGAGACTAAAGATTTAAATAGTATGATGATAAATATGAAAAATTAAAAAAAACTAAATATTATATATTGATGCGTGCTAGAATTCAACATACACTCAGGTGAAATAAAACAACCAGTAATGACACCATAAGTTTTTACTTGGAAAAACTTGTGAAGGGAAAAAATCGCGGGGTCCGACCCAGTTGTAATGATCCACAATAGGTTGATGATTACAAAAAACTTCTTGTTTTACAGAAGGGAAAGTATAAAAATATGATTACAGTTACAACCACTTATCCCACAGATGGGAAAGAGTTACTAGGTTTTCCAAGTTACAACGTCGACTAATGACTTCCGGTCAGTGGTGGTCGACGATGATTGGTGATGATAAATGACAGTCAGTTGTGATTGATGACGGTCAGTTGGCAGTTGACGATGACAATAGTGCTTGACGACAGTCGATGGTTGTAGACGACGGACGACAGTGGTCGACGACGATCGACCGGTGTCGATGATAGTCGACTGTGGTCGACAATGGTCGACGACGGTTGGCTGGGGTCGACAATGGTTGGCGATGATTGACGGCGGTTGGCATTGGTTGACAGCGGCTGACAACGATCGACGATGATAGGGATGGTGCTGGACTTCAGCTCTTTCTCAAAGCTTTAAGTTTTCTTTCAAGCTTCAAGCCTCTCCCCCTTCATGAGAGGGGTGGGGCTCCATTTATATTGTTCTAGGTGCAATTACTGCAAATTAATGCAGGAGTATGAACCACTTTGATCCGACGAACGATCTAGAGAGCTTCCTTCGATCAGACGGTGTTTGATGGACATTTAGGTTCCTTAACAATGTTGGAATTGAGAAATTTTGAACTCGTTGGATTCATCTTATTGAGACACTCGATTCAACTATGAACTTGCTAGATTCGACATTCGTTTGCCCTTCCAAATATGTTTGAAAGACTTTCAAACTTGGTTTGATTGCTTGACCATGGCTCGATTTGACTCGCATTGGACTAATTTTGATCTCGTTGGGTCTATCTCATTGAGCTAGTTAGTTTGACTATATGTTTGCTAAAATCGAAGCTCTGGATGACTCTTAATTGAGTTGGAATGTTTCTTGCTCAAAAGATTGTCTCGAGATTCGTGTCATGCCTTAGGGTCTGTTTGGCGCTGCTATTGATTATTTATTTATTCTGATAATATGATAATCTGTAGATTATCAGAATAATATGGTTTGCTGTTTGAGGCAGCTTATTCAGATTAGCTTATTGGTGGTTAAATGACATTCCTGCCCCTGTATGATAAAATTGTTGGGGGCAGCTTATTCAGAATAGTTTATTGGTAGTACAAAAGCATATAGTGCAGAAGCATACAATCATCACAGATCAGTTCCAAAAGATGACATACAGTTCTCACACTCTCGTGAGTATCAGAATAAATAAAAAAAGAACAAAGACAAGTACAACTACAATGAGAAATATTAAAATATTTAATTTCAAACTCTGGCTCGCATGTCCTCATCGCACTATCAACCTGAGAAAACATCGGATTTCCATGACTGCTGGCAGTGTAATATGTAGGACAGTCAGCCCACCGGAAGAACCTCAACGAGCTGAAACACCCTTGACACAACCGTAGAACTGCCTCCCAAAGCTATGAGGCTGACGTGACGTGAGCAACGGAGACGGTAGTCCACAATAACACAAAATACCTCTGTCTGTAACTGATATCCTAGAAGACATGTTTGTATAACTGTGAAAAAAATAAAAAAAAAAGAATGTCAGAACTTATCCCAAAAAAATAAAATACACATGAAAATTGATCTACATATATAAGAAGAAAACAAAGACTTGCTGGATTAGCTGGCATATATAGCATCTGCTATAGACTCCCTTAGAGCAGCCCTCTCGGCTGCACCCTCACCGTCCTTAGTTTCATATTCAGTTGACTCAATCTCATTATCAGCTAGAGATCCTCAAGGTTCTGGGGAGTCAATAATTGGATCGTCATTAGCAATATCGAAGTCCGTATACGAATGAGATGGATGTCGTTGGATGAAGTTGTGAAGTGCCATAGTGGTCACCATAATATACACTTGTTTGGGAAATGAATACGAGGTCATATCACGTAAGATAATTCATTTTATCTTCCACACTCCAAATGTTCTTTCAATAACCCCCCCGTAAAGAAGAGTGTTATTTGTTAAACATTTCTTTTTTGTCACAAATTGTGCCACTTGCTCACTCAAAATCAGGAATATGATATCTGGTGTCTGGATAGGGCTTCAGGTAGCCCCTTAGCATCGGATAACCCAACATCTACCAAATAATAATTTCCTGTTATGAAAGACAATATTAATTAAAAATAATTAATGTAATTAACAAGATGTTTAATAAAAAAATGAACAAACCTGTAGGTGGGTGAGGGAAACACTATGTTCGATTTCTAGTTGCATAGGAAAAAAGATGACTGTCATGTGCACTTCATTCCCACCCCACCATTACAAATGTGAAGCACATGTTAAAGCCATACACTGCCATCACATTTTGGGTAATTTTACCACTCCGACCAATATACGTGATCCTTTCTTGACTTGGTAGTCGGGCATCCACATGCATACCATCGATTGCTCCAATGCAGTTTTGTAACTGATAGTTAGTAATTCCACAGGTATTGAAGTAAAAGGAACAAACTAACCAAACTTACTTTGAAATACGACATGTAACAGAGATCATTAGCAATTTGTTCAGGAATAGTTACAAACAATGGATCAGATGACTTAATGTTTTGCGCTGCTAAGCTCACAAGTGCTTATATACCTTTGTAGAAGTATTGACTAATTATTTTCTAGGAATGCTGAAATCGCTCCATAGCTTCTCTAACTGATTCATTCTGTGATAGAATATATAATGTTATAGCCATGACCTCTCTCGTAGTCGTTCTAGAAGAACTTTGGAGGCTGTGGTTACAACATAAGTCATGTAGAAGATCCATAAAAATGGGTGCACTCATTCAAAAAATTCTACTGAACCTTATTGGTTGTCCAACAAGCATCTTACCCACCCATTTGTCCCCAACATATGAGGACGTCATGCATGGTATCCGTTTTAGTGTTGGAGCGGTAATTTTCCAACAATAATATCGCAATTACTGCATCCCAGGTCATTCTTTTACGACGTTCTCGTAGTGGATCCATCCTGAAGTTATAAATTCATTAGGATGCAATAATTTAACAGAAATGACATAAATGAAATACATCTTGTGAAGAAAGCATCTAGAAAATGACATAAATGAAATACATAAGATCAATAAATGAAGCACATAAAATGAAATTCCAAGCATCAGTAAATGAAGTACATCAAATGAAATACAAAACATCCGGAAATGAAGTGAAATGAAGTACATAAAATGAAATACATCCATCCACTGACAGGTTTTTACAAAACAGTCTCATTCTTCTACTAAAACACATAAATATTCAAGGCGCAGCTCGGGCCGTAGGGCTATGAACATTTGCCTACGAGTAGGGTCCTCAAGTTTTTTTAACACATTTTGCCTGAAAGTGTATTTTAACAGCTACTTCTGGAATAGTGTCTAAAATGTCAACACAGTCCCAGATGGTGCTATCAGAGGGAGGTGGAGTTGAAAAAGCAGCAATTAGTTCATGAAATGAGCTTTTAAAGAAACTATCATTCTCTTTCGTCCTCCTGCCAAGCCTAGAACTCATGGACATGGAATTGGACTCTCTAATCTCATTTTGGTTAATACTAGACCTTTCATCATCGTTTATGACCTGTTCAGGCGACAAGTCATCTGGTATTCCTGAAAATCCCATTTCACTTTGGTTGAATGAATTCTTTCCAGTCGCGACAAACCCCTTAAATATTTTGTTCAGTTTTTCCTTGAACTCTGGCTCAATTCGGCATTGCCTATATTTTTTGGCAGTTGACATTACCTGGAATATAAAGCTTTATTAGAGGAGTTTAGGTATTAACTAAAAAATAATGGAATTAAGAAAAAAACATTTGTATTCAGTACCTCCAATCTTTCAGCCCACCATTCATCTAGAGCATCGATAGTTCGTTTAACGGGATCCCAACCCAATCCGGTAGAGCCACGTTTCAGCTCCATCCATATTTTTCATTCTTTCCACAATTGATCCCATTTGTTTTTGATTTAAGCTTGTCATAATTGATCCCGAAATTGCTTATATGCAACAGTATAA